GCCTGGCGCTCAGCGAGGACACGGAGCCGAGCAGCAGCGAGAGCCGCACGGGCCTCTGCTCCCCCGAGGACAACTCGCTGACACCGCTGCTGGACGAAGTGGCGGCGCCCGAGGGTCGGGCGGCCACGGTGCCCCGGGGCCGGGGCCGCAGCCGCGGGGACAGTTCCCGCAGCAGCGCCAGCGAATTGCGGCGCGACTCGCTCACCAGCCCGGAGGACGAGCTAGGGGCGGAGGTGGGCGACGAGGCAGGCGACAAGAAAAGCCCGTGGCAGCGGCGGGAGGAGCGGCCGCTTATGGTGTTCAACGTCAAGTAGTGCCCCCGCCCCGCCTGGCGCGGCCTCCAGGCCGGCTTCCACCCTGGCCCGCCCCCAGGGTGCGCGCCCCGGGGAGCTGCGGGGCTGCCCGCTCTTAACCCCCGCCAGGCGTGGAAAGGTGCCCGGGGGCCTGCGGAGCTGTCCAGGGGTATGTGCTTGGTAATGTCGTGGGAGGGACCCCATGTCTACCTCCAAGAGGGAGATGGGAGGGGGCCAGACCCGTTGGGAGGAGCTGGGGAGGAGGACTGGGGGGGTGCGGGGATGGGGGGGCGGGAGATGCAGTGCCTGTATACACGTGGCTGTACATAGAAAGGTCTATTGTGGGAAGGCAGGAGGGGTGATCGGGCCTCAGCTGCTAGTGTGAGGGCTGGGAAGGGAGGGGGCATTCTCTGTGGACCCCTGGGAGGGGAGCGGGTGCTGCTTGCTGACTAGCCCACCTCCGGGCTACGATGTCACAGGGCTGGTGGCTGGGGTGGCTCTGGGGACTAGGGGACAATGTGATGGGATCTCTGTGGGCAACAGCAGATATAAAACTGGTGAGATTAGCTCCGTGCGTGTCTTTCTATGGGGTAGGGGGAGTGTGGGCACTGGATGGGGGCCCTTGCTCCGAGGTCCCCTGGGGAGGGCAGGGAGGGTGGCCAAATTAGACACTGTTAAGAAAGTGTACAAACTTTATTGCAGCACATACACACACACACACACACACCCCTGTGGATAGGGAAGAGCACCTGGCCACAGGGTCCACAGAAACTGGGGGAGGGTATGGCAGCTTGTAATGTGGCTTTCGCCACAGCCCCCCTTCTGATAGGGAAGGCCTTAGACTGAGGCCCCACCTCCCACAGTGAAGATGGGACTCAGAATGGAGGAGTCTGGGAGAATTTGGTGGGAGAGGGGTGCTGGGGAGGCCTGAGCAGTGGGCACCCTCTGAGCAGGGTCCCGAGGGCTGCAGTATCTTCAGTCCTCAGTCTCTCCTCACAGTAGCTGTCTCGGGGCTGGGTCCCTCAGAGGAGTGTCCCAGCGCAGGGTTGCCCTGCGCAAACACTTGGTGCCCTTGGCCGCACAGCGGAAGCCAGGAGGACAGCAGTGACGGTGATCTGCACAACATATGCCCTGGATGGTCAGAGAGAAGTGTGAGAGTTCGACAGAGCAGGACCTGGCCCATGCCCATACCCAGCCCCAGGGTGGGGGGTGGCACTGACCTGGCGATAGGGACAGCAGGCCCAGCCCCCTCGACTAGCTCGGCAGCAGGTCTGGTTATCATGGCAGAAGTGCGCCTCCCCACATTTCACGTTCCCTACACCCATGTGAGAGCCAAGGGGCAGGCGGGCGGCCGGGTGGGCAGAGTCCACCTCCTTCTCACAGGACCGGGCCTTCACGTTGCAGGTGTACCCAGCTGGGCAGCAGTGCTGGCGGTCCTCACAGCACACGGCCTGGGGGGGACAGAGCAGCATTATACTCTCGTCTTCCTCTACCCCCGGGGACTCAGCTCCCCTATCCAGGGGCACTCACATGGGGCAACTGGCAGCAGGCCCAGTGCCCACTCAGGCTTGGGCAGCAGGTCTGCCCCACCGGACAGCCGGTGAACTGGTCACAGCCCGTGTCTCTGGGGTGGGACAGGGAAGCTCGGCGGGCAGGCATCTTCTCCAGTCCGGTCACCATCTTGTTCCCCCTCTGACACTGCCCCCCAGCCACACATGTGTAGCCCTGGGGGCAGCAGTGCTGGTGGTCCGAGCAGCAGACAGCCTTTGGGGGTGCCAGAAAAGGATGCTCTAGGATGCTGCTATGTGGGATGGAGCACTGAGCCCCTACCCGCCCTGCTGTCCCCCACCGCAGCCCACCTCTCCTGCTCACAGCTCCTCCAGCTGGGGATGAATCTGACAGAGCTGGTGTGCTACCCGTAGGCTAGGCAGAGACCAGAAGAGCAAGGTAACAGGAGTCTGGCCACCTGCCCAGGCAAAGACACTGCCCCCCAATGCTATTCTACTACCCATGCACCTCTGGGACAGGACAGCAGCCCCACTCCCCAGACGTGAGTCGACAGCAGGTATAGAAGGAAGGACAGCTGGTGACATTATCACAAGGGACATCAGTCTCCATGGCTTGGGGGTCCAGCAAGCTGAGGTGGGTTGGGGCCTGCTCCATCCAGGGCACCTGGCGGGCCCCCTGTTCACAGGTACCCTTCTCTGTGTCACACCTAAACCCGGCTGGGCAGCAGTGTATGTGGTCCTCACAGCACACAGCCTAGGGTAGATAGAGAGGGGACAGTGGGCACAGGGGCCCAGTTGGCTGCCACCCTCTCTTCAGCCCAGCCGACCCACCACTCCTGGGTACCTGGGCAAAAGGGCAGCAGCCCCAGGCCCCCGATTGTAGGCGGCAGCAGGTGTAACCATCTGGGCAGCTCACCTCCATGTCACACTTCACCTCCCGCACTGTGAAGGAGGCAGGGAGGACAGGTCAGCAGTGGCACTGGGGACCCTCCGGGGTGCCCACCTTTTGCCAGCTCCACAGCTAGAACCACATGTTGAGGATGGAAGGCACTGCTTAGGCCAACCCCAGGCAGTGATCCTAAGGCTAGGCCCAGTGTGGAGGAAAGGGGGCTGTAGCTGCCTGGCCCCTCCATGTGGCCAGTCCCTCACCCCCGTCTGTTCCCAGAACAGCCTGGTGGAGAGCTCCTCCTCACGGTGCAGGTGGAATGGGGTCTGTGGCCTGCCTCTGGTACCTGTGTGTGCCGGCAGCTTGGTGAGGAGGTCCGTAGCGTTCTCCTTGGAGAGGCACTTATTCTGGATTAGGTCACACACAGTGTCCTGGGGGCAGCAGTGCAGGTGGTCGGAGCAGCAGATGGCCTGGGTGGGGGCGGGGGTGGGTCTTTATGACTTCCAGTCTCAGTGGAGCTCAGGGAGCAGCCAGGCTGACAGCTGGTACTGCCCCAGTCCCCCACTAGGGGGTGGCATGAGTCCTGAGCAGCCAGGCACTTGCAACAACTAGTCAGACAGCACCCCCCCGGAGTCCCTGCAAGGTAGGTATCCAGGCCAGGTGGCTGTGGGCACACAGCCCAACTGGCTACAGCCCCTCACTCACATTGGGCATTGGGCAGCAGCCATAATTCCCACCGGGCAGCTCGCAGCAGGTAGAACCATCAGGGCACCGGGACCGTGCGTCAGGGCACATGACCACTGGAAGGGGAGAGAGGTATGAGGGGCAGCCGGGGTGGGGGGACACGGGACTTCTCCCCAGCTATGAGCCAGATGAGGCCCCCACTCACTCTTAACCCCCAACCTGATGCTCTCCCACCTCCTCACCTGCCCTATTAGTCCTTTGTGCTGGGATCTTCTTTGCCAGGGGATGGGTGCCCGTGGCCGTGAGGCAGCGGGCATGAGCCAGGTCACAGGAGGTGCCATGCGGGCAGCAATGCACCTTGTCTTCACAGCAAGAAGCCTGATGAGAGATGGTCCTGACTCCGTCTCTGCCCCCACTGCCCTCTCCCCTCCCCCTATCTTCCCACACCTGTACCTGGGGCATGGGGCAGCATCCCCAGGAGCCATCAAGCATAGTGCAGCACGTGGAGGAGTTGGGGCATTCGAACTGGCTACCGGGGCACTGGACGGCACCCAAGGAGTTGGTATCTGTGGACAGGATGACCCAAGATTCTGCCAACCCATTCAGTGAAGGTCATTCTTCCTCATCACTCAAGGAGCTGCTGGCACCAGGGCCTGCAGGCCCAGCTACAGGGTGATTGGGGGGCTGGCTCTAGGGCTCAGTGTTCTCCCAGGCACTCCTAACCCACTCTCCCCACCAGCCAGTCCTTGCCGCAGCAATACAGCACAGGGCAGGGGCATCCATTGACTGGGTTGGCATTGAACTAGCTGGGCAGCTTGGCCTCTCCCCACCCCCGCAATGCCTGGCCCCAGGCTTGGAGTCTCACATTCTCTCCTGCCCGCTCCTGGCCCCAGTGCTGCCCCTCTGTCCAGAGCAAGGGCAGCTTAGTAGAGATGCCACATGAATGAGGACATGAGGCCAGGAATCAGGGTCACCCAGCTGGCTGGGCTCCTGGGTGCTCCAGGCTCTACATGCTGCCTGTCTGCCTGCCCTGCACCTCCACCCCTGCCGCACCTGATCTTCGGAAGCAGGACCGCCCGTCAGCACTGCAGTGGAAGCCGCGTGGGCAGCAGTGGCGGCCATCCCCACATGACATGGCCTGTGGGACACAAAGATGCCTGCATCAGCTAGGCCCTTTTACTCGGCAGTGGGAGAGCACAGGAAAAGTGTAAATGCAAATCTGGGCCCCTCCACTGAGCTAATGGAACCCTCACCTCTGGGAACGGGCAGCAGCTGGAGGTCCCCAAGATGGTGAGGAGGCAGGAGTAGCCAGGAGAGCAATGGGCATCTATCTGGCAGGGTCTGCCCAGGCGCCTGCTCAGTGCTGTGGGCCATTTGTCCTGGGAAGTGAGAGGAGAGGATAAACTGAAGGACCCAAGCCTGTCCCCCTCCTCTGGCCAATCCAAGATGCCCCTTTGGGAAATCCCATGATACAAGCTCTGGCGTGGGCTGAAGGGCACTCACCAGAACAGGATTGCAACAGCTGTAGCTGGCTCCTCCTGGGTCCAGGCAGCAGGCCACAGGGCAGAGCTGACCATCTGGGCACTGTGTTCCAGCCACCAGCCCTGCCACTAAGGCCACCCAGCTCACCAGCGTCCACATAGTCTGCCTGCAAAGTAACAAGAGGCCTTTGGCAACCAGCTTAAGCCTATGCCACCCTTGACTCTGGGGCCAGTCACTCCCCAGCCCCAGGCCCAGGGCTACTTGAGCCTCCCCAGCAACTCCTTGTCCAGGCAGCAAGAAAGTGTGGGGCCTGAGACTCAGCTTCCTACATATGTCCTGTGTGTGTGTCACACATGCACCAGCGCATGTACACCCATGAGCATGAATGCTGACGAGTACACGTGTGAATCTCTGTCCCCACCATGTGGCTTAACACCTGAGTCTCTGTGGGTGAGTGTGTAGAGATGTGGGCACGTGATAGGAAGATTTATGAGTTTTGTGGGTCTGATCTGTGGGGATGTGGGCCACCTGTGGGGGGTGGGGAAGGCATCAGTAGCCATAGGAGGACAGGGCTAGGGTGCAAGGAGGGAGTCCCCCACCCCGGAAGAAAAGCCAGGATTCCACTTCCGCAGCCAGCCCCTCCAGATGCCTCCTCAATCAATACTGTGCTCACACCTGCACCCTGCTAAGGCCTGCTGGCGGGGGAGGGGAGGTCACATGATGACATGGGAAACCATAGGGTTGAGAAAGTTGTGAAAAGGGAAGTGCAGTGGCCAGTGGAGTCTCAGCTGCCTTCCCCAGAGGCCAGCCACAGCCCGCCCACTGACTGTCCCCTCCCCACCCAGGGAAGGGGACACAGAGGCTGGGTCAGCCTTTGAGACACCTGTGTTCTAAGGACCCCCAACACCACCAGGCCCTTTCAGACTCCCCAAAGATACCACCCTCTTACCCCTGCCTCTCCCCCTACCCTGGAGCCGAAACTCAGCCACAGGTAGAGACAGACCACATGTGCCCACCTGACTGCAGATCCCAGTCAGAAGGAACCGAGCCTCAGTCTCTCCGGGGGGGGAGCAGCCTCTCACTTCCTACAACTCTTGCCCCAAGTGCCACCACCCTGCTGGTTGAATAGGGCAGGTCCAGGGGATGTCACACTGCCTAGAGGGGCAAAACCAAATATGTTTATTGAACCCCTTGGGAGCCAGTTACAACACTCTATTTTCTTTATTCTTTGCAACAACCATCCAAAGTAGTAATTATTACCTTTACTTTTCAAAGGAGGAAACTGAGGCTCAGAGATGTTAAGTAACATGCTCATGTCACATATCAAGTCATGGAGATGACAAGCTTTGATGGTTCCAGAGCATATTGGACCTGGGTTCACCTCACAAGTGGCATGATGGACAGTGCCCGGGAATGGACCCCAAACCCCAGGAGGGAAGAGGCCTGGGGTCCAAGCAGAGGAAGGCGACAGAGGCATTTCCTGGGCAGGTGGACCAGGCAGGACAGACATGGGGAGTGCAGGGGCTGCCTGGATACTGCACTTGGGTCCTCGTCCTAGAATTGCCACCACTGACTGAGAGCGCCTCAAAAGTTGCTCCCTGTCTCCGGGCCTCAGTTCCCCCCCGAGTCTGTGTGTGGACACAGCACACAGTGTGTGGCAGGGAATCGCACTGGCCCAGGCCCTCACATCCCCTCTCCCTCACCTGGCTTTCCTCTGGGTCCCCTCCCCAGCTCAAAGACCATCACCAGGAAGCCATCTCGCGGCCAGGTAAGGATGAAGAAGAACAGTCCTGGGCCACAGCCCCATTCACCCTCTCCTCTATGCCCACAGCTCACAGGCAAGGCATACACAGCCGGCCCACCCACTTCTTGGGAGTCCAACCTCGACCCTCCACAGGCTGTCCCACTGCCCTGGCTTAGGCAAGAAGCGATGCGTGTCTGCACAGACCTCGGACTATTCGGCACCCTAGTGATTTATGTATGTATATTTTCCTTCCTGGGTATCCTGAGGTTAGGGAGTATAGTGTATGCATCTACTGAATACGCATGCCCGCACATGCACACACAGGACCAGGGATGGAGGAGGAGAGGCCTAATTCCTCTCAGTAGGGTTCTGAGTGGAGGCCTCTCTCACCCCCACCCCACCTTGCCCCAGTAGAGAGCGACGACAGGAGCCTCTTCAAGCCCCCATCTCCGTCATCTTCCACTAGGTGGCACCCCCCAACTCCGATTGCCAGGAGGAGAGAGATTCCCATAAAGTGAGCCAACCCAACTGCGAGTGAGCAGGGAAAAGTGGCAGGGAGAGGCGGAAGTCAGCTTGTCCCACCCCCCACGAGAGGAAGTAAGGGAGAGCCAGACACAACCCAGGGGTTCAGTCACCACTCCCAAGTCCCTGCTACCTTTGAGGAGGCCAGGGTCTCAAGTCCCACTCCCAGCCCTCTGAGCTCCGGGACCAGGGGTGGGCGTCTCTCTCGCTCCCAGCTGCCGCGAGGACTACCCACCACCACCAGCACCTGCCCACGGGGGAGGAACCGGCTCAAGAATGGAGTGGTCCCTGCTTTGAGGAAGCGGCTGCAGCTTCCGGGGATGCTGGAGGGGAGAGAGCTCCCTTCTAGTGGGGGTCACTGCAATTACTGCTTACTACCACCCCCCATAAAACTCCCTCCAGTGCATCGCAAATCCCCCAAACTCTCTAAGCGACTCTTCCCTTATCTCCTGGCTGAAACTCCGGAGGAACCTTAAGCTTCCGTGTCTCCCTGGGCGGGCCCCTGGGAAGGAGCAAGCGAGAGGTGGGTGCCGCCGCCCGCCTTACCTGCGTCAGGGTCGGCGCTCCCTGGATAGCAGCAGCCCGGGAGCTCACGGACTTGGGCCTCGCAGCGCAATGGCCCTCCCACCTCAGTTGCCATTGGCCAGCCGGCCCGGGGTGTCGCGCTACCATTGGCTACGCGCCGGCTTAGAGGCGGGGCTAGGCTGGAAGGCGGTGCTTCTTTCCTACTCAATTCGCTCTCCTCCCTCCCTTCGTTTCTCTCTCGTCACTCCCTGTTTCCAGGGATCATGTGATTGGAAAAGCATGTGATGCCCTGGCCTGCTCCGCCGGGATGGGGGTGCCCGCCTCCCCGCCTTCTGTGGGCGCCTGGTAGAGTTTGCCCGAGATGGAGTAGCGTCTGTCTGGGGACATTGACAGCCAAGGGAGCTGCCCCTTAGAGAGTGCGTTCAAGGGCGTTTACAGGATGTCCACTTCTGGATTTGGGACATTTGCGCATCCTGTTTGTATTCTCTTCAACAAACTCAGATTAAATGCTGGCCGGCCAGGCCCCAAAGAGGATGGAAGGAGAGTTGTGAGGGCAAGGATGAACAGCCCTCAGGCACTTTCCTCGAGGTGCTCGCAGCAGGGTGTGGGTGGGTGGAGAATGGAAGGCTCAGATTAAATCTAATTTAAGGTACAAGGGCGTGTGCCAAGTGCTATGGATGTGTATGGGAAGAGGTAGTAGGTTGGCTCTAGGCGGGGAAGAAGAGATTTAGTTCCACCTTGGAGGCACCTTATTGAGCTGAGTCTGGGAGGACTTTAACTGGCAGGTGGGGAGAGGTTGGAGAAGTGGCTGGACAGGGGGTGATGGGAGGAGCGTTAGGAAACCAGATGGGAAGGGCAGCCTTGGGCAGGGATTGAATGCCAAGTTCAGTGTAGTGGACTTGAGGAGCTGCTGTGTGTCTGGCTCAAGGCTGGGCTGGGGTGGGTGCATAGTGGAAGTGGCTTCCTAGTTTCAGTCGGCCCTGCCTTCCAGGAATTGACAGGTCGGGTGAGGAGAGAAAATGTACCACACAGAACAGATTAGCCAGCAACAGGAGGCAGACTGCTCAGTGCCAGAGGGCCTGGCCCAGGCCGAGATGAGTGATAGGAGATGCACGGGGAGAGAGGAGAGGCCCAGAGAAAGCCTGGTGCCTGGGAAGGAAGGGGAGTGTTGGTTATGCAGAGTAGATGGAGAGCGCTGAGGGTGAGGCTGGGGTAGGGAACAAATAGCCACGCTCAGGGGTGATGGGAGTCTGGGTAGGGAAGCAGTGGCAGGGCTGAGGAATTGAGTGGAAGCAGTGCTCAGCCTGGGGCCAGAGAAGGTCCAGAGAGTGGATAAGGCTCCTCCTGAGAGTCAGGACTATTCTGCAGGCTAGTGACATTTGTGCATGTTTTCTTTCCTCTGTATCCCGAGGCAAGAAGGTACAGCTTATGCTTCTATTGACGAAGCTCATACACACACACACTTTTCATGAAATGTTAGGCAGATCAATAAATGTACCTATTAATCAGAACTACACAGAACAAGAAAAAAATACATACAGAAAAAGAAAAAAACTAGAGTGACTGAAACAAGTATCACAAAATCCTTAAAGAGGTGATTTGCCCACCAGGGACATTTGGCAGTGTGTGGAGACATTCCGGGTTGTCACTACTGGGGGGAGGTGCATCTAGTGGGCAGAGGCCAGGGATGCTGCTAAACTTCCTATAGTGCACAGGACAGCCCCCACAACAAAGATTATTCTGCCCAAAATGTCAGTAGTGCTGAGGTTGAGAAACCCTCTCTAAAGGATCAGAAACTTTCTCCATGAAAGAACTCAAAGTTTTCCTCCCACAGAGCCTCTTTTCTCTTATTTCATGTATTTTAAATAAATGTTGTCATCTGATTTCCCAGTAAAAGTAGATTATAGAAAGATCAGGGGATGTATGGGTGGAAGTTTCTAGAAGCAATCACTTTGAGTTTAGCAAGGATTGAAAGCATTTAATAGGAAAAATTGTAAAAAGCAGACTGAAGAACTTAGAAACCCAACATCCCGGGGACACTGAGTATAGGGGGAAACAGTTCTGGAAGACTCAATGGGCCTTACCAGCATTACTCTTAAAGGACAGTAGTTAATAGTCAAAGTATGAACCTGAGCATTCAGAAGAACTTGAATCATATGCAGTTACTCTGATCACTATGGCAAGGAAATGTGGAATATAGTTACTAAACAGCTTCTCACACTAGATGCAGGGAACCTCCACTTCAGTGGAGAGGGTACAGTTCCCATGAGGACTGCAGAACATCTCCCACATTCCTCAAGAAATGTTCCAGTGTCCTTAAACCCTCCAATTCAGGAATCTCTCTCCCTCTGCTTTTTGCTTTTAAGGAGGGAGTATCATTTTGTGAATAGGAAAGACTGAAAAGAAGCAAACTTCCAGAGTCACAAAGAGATTTGACATCAAAGTGTCTATCCTCATTTGCCCCGTTCCCTAAGCCCTCCCAGCCCCCTTGGCCAGGCCTTATGATTTTTAATTTTGATATAATCAATTGACTGTAAATGTGAGGGTTTATTTCTGGACTCTCAGTTCTATTCCATTGATCTATTTGTCTGCCCTTATGCCAGTACCACACTGTCTTGATTACTATAGCTGCTTGGCAAGTTTTGAAATTGACAGAAATGGGAGTCCTCCAACTTCTTTTTCAAGATCATTTTGGCTATTCTGTGCCTCTCGAATTTCTATGCAAATTTTAGGATGAGTTTCTGCAAAGACAGCTGAGGTTTTGATAGGGAATGCACTGAATCTGTAGATCAATTTGGGGTGTATTGCCATCTTAACAATATTAAGTCTTCCTATCCATGAACATGGGATGTCTTTTAATTTATTTATCAGTTTCTTTTTGACAGTTGCCAAGTGTTCCATGCTATAGATGTTATGTAGTTTACTTAACCAGTCTCATTTTTTTTCTTCTCCCCAGTGCCCCAGTACATGGTTGTATATCCTAGTTATAAGTCCTTCTAGTTCTTCTTTGTGAGCCGCTGCCACAGCCTGGCAACTAACAGACGGGTGGTGTGGTTTCGAGACTGGGAAATGAACCCGGGCCTCCAAGGCAGAGAGCGCAGAACTTTAACCACTACACCATTGGGGCTGGCCATAACCAGTCTCATTTAATGGACTTTTATGTGTTTCCAATTTTTTGCAGTTACAAACAATTATACAATGAATATTTGTGAACATGTCTTTGAGTGTACATGTGGGAGTTAAATTTGTAAAAGTAACATTGCTGGGTAAAGGGTATGCACATTTGAAATGTTAATGCCCCTCATCTAGCTCAACCCCCTTTCTATGCAATGAGGAAACTGGTGCTCAGTGAGGACCTCCTCTCCAGTCTTGAAAATTTTTCCAGTTTACATTCCCAGTCACACTATTTGGGAAACTTATTTCCCATATACTCACCAACATTGGATACGCCAGTTAAAAAATTTTTTTTGCTTATCTAATGACAGAAGATATTTCCTGGTTGTTTTATCTGCATTCCCTTGATCTCTAGGGAAGTTGAGCATTTTTGCCTATGCTTATTCTGCATATGTATTTCTTCTGTGAATTGCCTGTTCCTATCTGTATTAGTCAGGGTTCTCCAGAGAAACAGAACCAATTGATGTGTATATAGAAAGAGATTTATTGAAAAGAATTGAGTCACGTGACAATGGAAGCCAGCAAGTTCAAAATCTGCAATGTGAGCCAGCAGGCCGGAGGCGCAGGAGAGTCTGATTGTGCAGATGAAGTCTAAAAGCAGTCGCTGGAGAATTTCCTCTTGCTTGGAGAGGCCAGTCTTTTTGTTCTATTCAGGCCTTCAACTGATTGAATGAGGCCCACCCACATTATGGAGGGCAATTTGCTTTAGCCAAAATTCACTGATTTAAATGTTAATCTCATCAAAAAACACCCTCCAAGTTGACACATAAATCTAACCATCATATTATCCTTTGTTCACTTTTCTACAGTGTTTTTCTTTTTCTTGTTGGACTATGAGATCTCTTTATATATTCTGGATATTACATATGGTGCAGATATTTCTTTCCAATCTGTCATTTGTCTTTTATCTTTATTTATGGTATCTTTTGCGGTCAGAAGCTGTGTTGTTATGTTATCGGAAATCTAGCAATCAATTTTTTCCTTTGTGGCTTCTGCATTTTTTTTCCCTCCTTGCTTAAGAAGTTATAAATATGTTTTTCCTTGTTCATTTCTATTCCTGCTGCAGCCCCAGCTGAACTGGACCTCAGATACCAGGCTTGTGCTGGATTGAGGCACCATAATTGACAGGAGGTCCCACTCAGGAGCCTGGCACGGAGAGACCCCTGGATATGTCCCTCTGGCTAAGAGGTTCCTCCAGTCAGCCCCAGGGCTGCTTTCAGAGGTGATGGTCTGGATAAAGGGGTTGGGCAGCTCCCTTCTCTATCCTGTCTTCCACTTTTCTCAGCCTCTCCTTGTTTCTTCCAATCACCCCTCAGGGTTTTCTTCATTCAGAGTTACTGTTCTGTCCACATAGAAGAGTCACAGCTACCCCAGGACAGAGGCTATCTCCCCCCAGGATCTTGCATTGCCAGGTAAAACACAGGATGCCTGGTTAAATTTGAATTTCAGGGGCTGGCCCGGTGGCGTAGCAGTTAAGTTTGTGTGCTCCACTGCGGCGGCCCGGGATTTGTGGGTTCGGGTCTGAGGAGCGCACTGACGCACCACTTGTCAAGCTATGCTGCGGTGGCCTCCCATATAGAGTAGAGGAAGATGGGCACGGGTGTGAGCCCAGGGCCAGTCTTCCTCAGCAAAAAGAGGAAGATTGGCATCGGATGTTAGCTCAGGGCTGATCTTCCTCACACACACACACACACACACACACAATTCAGATTACAAACGAATTTTTTTAGTGTAAGTATGTCCCATGCAATATTGGAAACATACTTATACTTAAAAATTATTCATTGTGTATCTGAAATTCAAATTTAACTGGGAATCTTGTATTTTTATTTGCTGAATCTGGCTGCCGTGAAGTCTGAGGTTGGAATGAGGGCACAGAAGCAGCCTCTCCCTCACACACACCTCTTCCTTCCCCTTCCTGCCTGAGTCACCTTGGAGTGAGCAATTGTTG